GCTCCAGCGGCAGCTCAAGTCCTTCGTGTTTCGGGACCAACAAGTTAGATTGACGGGCTTCTCGGGAGGCACTGGAGACAAAACGGAGCAGAAAACAGAAGAAGAAGAAGACTGGTGTCAACCTATTACAATAAATAAAATAAAAACAAACACTAATGTCGCCTTAAAGATACTGCATGAAAAAAAGCACAGACAGACATAAAGATTATAATCAAGAAGGAACAAAGAGTAAGAGAGCGTTAATCACACACACAGTGAGTGTGAGCCACCTGATGCTTCATGTGGTTTTAATCGAGGTTTCTTAAAAAAATGAATTTTGTCCAGAAAAAGTTCAGCTGGAAATCATTTAACTTTGAAATCAACTCAACTAATCTTAAAACGTTTAGATCAGAGATCTCTGAGAAAGTTACAGATTCACCACATCGAACGTCAGACTTTACTCGAGTACTGACACCTCCCTTCCTAACCTTAACTGAAACTTTTCCACAAACATATAAGCAAGTTTCATGTCAGAGTGAATGTTTATTACAACCTGAAACCCTTTGCTTTGTTTTTGGACCATCTCCTAATCTTCCCTCTCAGTATTAAATAGGCTTCGTTCCCATAAAATCATCTATTATGGAAAATATATGACTATACTTTCATAATGTAAATATTGTGTATGTGTATGAGTATAATAATTTCTGCCTTCATCAGCACATTAATGCAACAATGAGAATTATATTAACCTGTAGTATCACTTTAATAAAAATAACTATGATTAATATGATTCTTATTATAACTTGCACAAATGAAAATTTCTGATTAGGCAGACCGTTTAATAACAGCTGAATTCTTTGAATTTTGCCCCCTACAGGACGACACAGGAGTTACATCTCCTGGTTCATGTCGCCTGTTAGTGAGTTTATTCTGCAGCGATTGCAGTTCTGCAAAATTAATACTGAGCTAATAAAGCTGATCATGTAATTATGAAGTGTGCTCATTTATAATGCCATCTGCAAAGTCAGTGTTCACCCTCCACTTACTGCCCACGTAAAGGCAGGATCCAGCCAGGACGCGTCCGTCCGCTCCGTGGCACACCAGGTTGTCTCCGGACCGCTGCTGGGATCCACTGAGGCCGTGAAGGGTGACGCTGAGGACGCTGGGGGAAACCACACTGTAGGCGCTGCTGGACACGCGCGCTCCGTTCAGCGTCCAGTATAAAGTGCTGGCGTGCACGCCGAGCTCAGGGCTCAGCGTGCACGTGGCCGTTAGACTGGAGCCAATCAGCAGAAAGGGATCCTGGGGGGAAATCACCGCCACATCTGGGTGTTGGAGACACATGGACACAAAACAACCTCTTAAGCCAAAACCAGTATGAAGGCTTCATGTGATAATCAAGTCCTGTCATAATCAAGTTCTCAAAGTCTAATTAGTATTATGCTCTATTGTATTGTGCATCTGCACCTTATTGTTGTCAATGTCTACGCATGGGACAGTGTGAAACGTAATTTCAATTCCTTTGTATGGCAAGTACATTTGAAGAAATTGACAAATAAAAGTATTCTATTCTATTCTATTCTCTAATTACTGAATGTGACAGAATAAATACCCAGAATCTAAAGTTGTTTAAGATTATCTACAAAACCAGAAGATCCTCACATCCAGACCTGACCAATAAAATAATATAATACATCATCTATTGACGGTTTTTAGAACAGTCCCTCTCTCTTCCCCCGTCTACACATGAATGTGGAATAATTTAACCAAAACGTTCCTCGGAGGTGAAAAATCCTGTAAACTTGCTAATGTTCTCTTTCCTAACAGGACTACATTTAGATTTGAGGTTTGTAGCTCCCCCCCAGTCATCGTTTAACCATAATTAACTGCGCTTTCTTCAGCAGCATCCCCAACACAGCGCTCGGCGGCTGTTTGTCTGAGTGTTTCTCAAACCGACAGCAGAGCCCGAGGTGAAACCACAGCACTTATAACAAGAAATCATTAGAGGCAAATTTTTTTGGCCAGCCGTGGGAAAACGTGTGTGTGCGCGAGTGTGTATTCATATCTCTGTGGGGACCAAAAATGGGAAGTTTACTATACTTGTGCGGAGCAAATTTTTGAGACTCAAAATGTGGTTTTGGTGACACTGTGTGTGTGTGTGTGTGTGTGTGTGTGTGTGTGTGTGTGTGTGTGTGTGTGTGTGTGTGTGTGTGTGTGTGTGTGGGAAGCAGCAGCCTCTCGGCACATATTTATGACCCAGTAATGAAGCGGATTTATGGAGCCCCGCTAGGATCAGTCAGAGAGGTCACCCCGGTTTACTGGTGAAACCTTGAATGCTTTTCCATACCGCGACCGTCTGAGGCGTGAGGTTTGCCCCTGTGATTGATAACCACGAGAAGCCCTCCTCTCTGTGTTTGAATGGCACCACCGGGCTCCTTATTCACAGATATTTGAGTTAATGTGTAGAGTTTTATGAGCCGTGCTGCAGGTGGGCGGCGGATAAGCTTTCTAACATGTGTTTCACTTCAGTGTTTTAATCTGTAATGTAAAGAGAAAATGTTTGAGGAAGAGCACAGCAGTTCTCATCCTCGGCCCTCGGTGAGAGGGAATTAAACACAGTGCTAATTATGAGCGCAGTAAACAATATATCTGTGATAATATGAAAAATGAATACTGTTCTAACTGCACACCTCAGTTTTCTGTTATATGCAGGCACAACATCCCATAGTTCATCCCTTGGGTTAGATGCCTTTTCATGCTCGCATGATTCAGTGGTCAGTGTTAACAAACAAACAAAACCCATTCCTCTGAAAATGGTCAGGTCTGACGACAGGACCGAAAATGAGCGAAAAGGCAGCCAATCTCCAAAGAAACACTTTCAAAGACCTTCAGAAAGCTGGAGAACTGTTGCTCAAGAGCACTCGAGGAATGTCTGGCTTCTTGGAGGCAAAATATAAAAATGTTTTAAAGGGAAATTAGGAGTGGCTCAAGACTTTTGCACAGTGCTGTATACAGTTATCTGGCATCAGTTTTGCCATAAAGCAAGTACAAAGTCATAGGTAAGATTTCCTCTATGATCTTCTTCTTATTACCTCACTGACTGTCAGGTATCACACAGACACATTTACTGCATTAATACATTTTAAATAACGTTATTTTGCAGATAGTTCTGAGTTAGTTTAATCCTTATAATCGCTATGATTAAGAATAAGAATTTTTACAGGTGAGGAACAAACTTGTTCACGCAGTTGAACGTGAACTTGTTCTCTTGCTTCGAGCGCTGCTCTGCACTCTCCTTTAGACAGGATCGAGGTGACGTAGCTTTACCTGAAGTTACCGAAAGTTAGGTGTTACTCACGTGTCGTGGAGAACAACACGCGTGGAACCAGGAGGATCACCAACACGATGGGAATCATGCTTCTCTCTGCTGCTGTCCGCTCGCAGCTCCAGGAGCTGAAGCTGGAGGAAGAACTGCGCAGCTGCACTCCGTGAGAGAGGATCCCTCCTCTGACTGCAACCCTCACGCCCCGCCCCCCACAGACACACACACACTTGCACACTTTCCCTGCTGCCATCGTTCCTATGCAGAGAGATGCTTCAGGTGAGGCGGTGACAACTGTCAGGTTTGAAAATCTCACCTTTCCTGACATCACCACGCCTATTACAATACGTCATTTCCTGTCAGTGTTAGGCGAGGCTTTATCCTCACCAGTTAGTGATGGAAGTTAAAGTCATGTGATACTAAATGATTTTTAAAAAGAAATATTCTTATGTAAAGAAACGAAACCAGTCATCAGTCCAAGTATCGAGCTCCCTGTTCTCTCACAGCATATTTTTTTTAACACAACCCCACTGAATGCAAAAGCTGTGGGGTTTGTTTTGTTTTTACACCTGTAAAACAACTTATTTTAAGTTATTACAGTTTATTAGCTCTAATGCAGGAGAACAGGTAATACTGTATTTTGTGTTTTTAATAATATTTGGGCTGCAGTCTTTCACCACATGGATGTAATGCTCTCACCTCTGAGTGAATCTGTTCTATCCTGAAGAGTGGGAGGCATACAGTTGTAAACTTGCCTAATCCAGATGTTATTTCACAAAACACATTTTAAAACATCTGCACCAAAGATATTTTCACCGATGTAAAAATGGATTTAAAACATCGCCCCTGCATTCACACAGAATTGGCACTAATGAGATGACGGGAAGAACAATGCAGAATAAAAAGTGCATCAAGTGCATTTTCCAAACACAAGAGGAAAAACTGTAAAAGCCCATCTGCAGGTGAGGCTCTGCCTTTTTACACAGAAAATGGAGCGCTGCTCAGGTCGATGTCCTCAAGATCACAGCATCAGCATCAGAAGGTCCAGAGAGTGATTAGAAATATTAAGAATAAAAAATGACACTCGCCCACAGATATCCACCCAAAGCAGAAACGAGTAATGGGCAGTCAGAGACAGAGGAGGAGCCAAAACACTCTGTTTCATTAAGAGCTTACACACAGTTAGCCCAGACACTCTCAGATACTGTCAGATACTCACAAATACTCACGGATACTCTTAGAAACTTACAGATACTGTCAGATACTCACAAATACT